GTGGAACAGGAGATTCAAATCATGGATGTGCAGCCAACAGATCTGCAGCAACTGTGCGATGTTATCATGTGAACATAGAGCAAAATCTCTGAGGAATATTTCCAGTATTTTGTTGAATCTATGCCACGAAAGATTAAGGCAGATTTGAAGTCAAAAAGGGGTCCAACCTGATACTAGTAAGGTGTACCTAATAAAGTGGCCGGTGAGTATATATTGCATTTCTGAAAATTTTTCCTCACTCAAACATAAACACCAAGAATATACCTACAGAATAAATTGCAGATTTATATAATCTTCAAAATTGTTGAAACTTCATCTCTAAATCGGCATTAGAGTGATGCAGCAGTTATTTCAGGGTTTCAGCACCCCAAAAGTTTTTATTTAGTTAATTGAAAACATGCACATGAAAAACATGAAATTTGATCTAATTTGTGTCTAATTTCTGTGTTATCGTTGAGTTATGGGTTGCATTTTATTTATTTTACAGTACATGTGTTTACCAAAAAATATAGTGGCTTATATAAGATGCATTGCTTAAGGTTAGGTGCAGGGGGTAGGTTTAAGGATAGTGGATAGTGCCTAGTTAATACCCAATTGTTTCCTTTTACTCTCTTCCTTTTTCTCACTTCAGCCTTAAAGTGCTCAAAACCACCTGTCAGTATATAAATACTCCTCTAGCGCTCTGCAAAACTGTAACCATACTCTCCTGCGTTTTCCAGATATGCCTCCATTCCCTTTTACCTGGTCCCTTTCTCGGTGCCATGGCAGTGTAATCTCGGCGCATCGCTCCTCATGGCTCCACAGGTCTACTGGTTCTCTCTGATCTGCAGAGGAGCTCTGCGCCTGTTCACCGGCAGGTCCTCGCACTCCCGCAAACCTCCGGTTAAGCCTGACTGTGAAGGACACGAGACAGCCAATGGATACAGCACACGGATGGTGGGTCGGGACACGCCCACAATGGCACACTAAAAAGGGAGGGGCTTATGCAAATGAGACTAAGCAATGAAGAAAGACAATTGGATGAGTGATTTACTGAAATAGACTAGACGCCCTGTAACCAATCACAGCACAGCATTACGTTTAGTTACAGGGCTCACGTACTGTATATAAGATGTGGAAAAGGCGGAGGATTCGCTGGAAGTGTCTACACGATGGACCGTCACATCGCAACTGAGGCAATAAGTGCGAGTTTTACGTTTCCGAACCAAGAGAAGCACTATTCGTTGGCACTTTGAAGGGTGTGGAGGAATGTCAAACTGAGGTTTTCGTGCCTGAAGTCTGTTCTTTGCATATATTACTGTAGTGTCGCAGATGCATCGTTCATAGAAGAGTCCTTGATTATTATATTTAGCAATGAGCAACCCGAGGTAACAGGCATTACCCAGCTTTAACGTGTCCGGAGACTTCCGACGGTCTGTTTAAAGGGGCAGTTCATCCAAAATATACACGTCAGCTTATTTGTGAAACGCACATTTGAGATGTTTGGTTAAATGAGCTGCTGTTTTCCAAATGATTATTTTCTTTTGCTTCGCAAAAACATCCCAGATATAGTATTTAAAAGATCAGGAGAGTTTTTGAATCATTTAATAGAGCAGAATTGACATTATACAAGTGTATAATGTCACAAAAAGTTCTGTAACTCCTTACAATAAGGTTGTATTAGCTAATATCAGTTAATACGTAACATATCCAAACAAAGTACAATACATTTAATACAGTATTTATTCTCATCTTTGTTGTGATGTCAACAATGTTACCATGGATGAGTTTGCATTTTAGGCGAGGCAGTGGCGCAGTAGGTAGTGCTGTCGCCCCACAGCAAGAAGGTCGCTGGTTCGAACATCAGCTTAGTTGGCGTTTCTGTGTGGAGTTTGCATGTTCTCCCTGCCTTCGCGTGGGTTTCCTCCGGGTGCTCCGGTTTTCCCCAAAGTCCAAAGACATGCGGTACAGGTGAATTGGGTAGGCTGAATTGTCCGTAGTGTATGAGTGTGTGTGTGAATGTGTGTGGATGTTTCCCAGAGATGGGTTGCGGCTGGAAGGGCATCTGCTGCGTTTAAAACCTGGCTGGATAAGTTGGCGGTTCAATCCGCTGTGGCGACCCCGGATTAATAAAGGGGCTAAGCCGACAAGAGTTTGCATTTTAGTACTGCATAATTTTGTGTGGCATGGTGGCTCAGTGGTTAGCACAACCACCTCACAGCTAGAAGGTAGCTGGTTCAAGTCCCGGCTGGGCCAGCTGGCATGTCTGTGTGGAGTTTGCATGTTCTTCCCTTGTTGGCATGGGTGTGCTCCGGTTTCACCCACAGTCCAAACACATGCGCTGTAGGACTAAATTGGTTGAGTGTGTATGGATGTTTCCCAGTACTGGGTTGCAGCTGAAAGGGCATCCGCTGTGTAAAACATGCTGGAATAGTTGGCGGTTCATTCTGCTGTGGCAACCTCTGATAAATAATGAACGAATGATGCTTAATTTAATGTTGATCTTGATTAATAAATGCTTCTTCGTTATTATTTGATGTTAGTAAAACTAATAATAACTAATTAAACTCTATTGTAAAGTGTGACCAAGAGGTCTAATTCAAAAAACACGCTGCACTTTTTAAACATCGCCATCACAAAACTTGAAAAAAAACAAAAAAACAAATGTTGCACAGTATTATTAACAATAAATATTTTTCAGAGAAATAAGTCAAGTTTGGTGAAGGAAAAATCATGGTTTGGGGTTACATTCAGTATGGGGGCATGCAAGAGATCTGCAGAGTGGATGGCAACATCAACAGCCTGAGGTATCAAGACATTTGTGCTGCCCATTACATTACAAACCACAGGAGATATCTGTCTGCCCCTATACTGAATGTAACCCCAAACCATGATTTTTTCCTTCACCAAACTTGACTGATTTCTATGAGAATCTTGGGTCCATGCGGGCTCTAGTAGGTCTTCTGCAGTATTTGCGATGATTGGGATGCAGATGTCAGGTAGCGTAGATTAAAGTTTGTTCAATGTTAGTCTTGCTGTAGACATTAAAATTAAAACTACATTTTAAGAAAAGCATCATAAAGTATATAACAATAATTGAAATCGACAGACACAAATTGATAAAGAGCGCTAAAAGAAACTCTTATAAGAGTTGTATTTCCTTTAAAATGAAAATAATTTATGTCTTAACTTTAAAAGGAGATTTGAAACTCCCAGTGTTCATTGTGACGGAAAACAGAAGCTTGAACATTTTACTTAATATCTACTTTTGTGTTTCACATTATAAGCCAAAATATGATGTTGCCATGTCTATGCACGACGACTATTTTCAATTTTGGTGAGCTGTTCCTGATCCATTTGGGAAGAAATGAAAGAAAAACCCATCAAATGTAATTAAACCCTGTCGGTCTGTCAGAGGAAGAGGCAGGCCAGGGTTTGGGAATGTATCATTTTGTACATGATCAGACACGTAATGAAAAGTAGCTACCTTGAATGTCCTCCGATTCGACCTGTGATCCACTGTATAGTGGCTTTTACAAATCGCTGAACGTTTGTAGTTATCATTATGGTATCCCTAGTATAACCTCCTGAAACCCTGCGTATACGTTTTAAAGGGACACCATCAAGATATATTAAGCTGCCTTATCCCTGTGGAAACTGAACACCTTATTCTTTTTACCCGTTAGTTTCCTCCGCGTTTGGTAGTCGATGTGTAATTTATTTGCACTTTATTCATTTGGTCTTTCTCGCAGGTTTATTTATTGTGGTTTGTTCGATGGAATTTATCGTCTTTTTAGCATTTTTTTTTTGGCTGTGTCTGAAATCGCCCCCTCATGGTGGCTCAGTGGTTAACACTATCGCTTGACAGCAAAAAGGTCACTGGTTCGAGCCTCGGCTGGGCCAGTTGGCATTTCTGTGTGGAGTTTGCATGTTCTCCCTGTGTTGGCGTGGGTTTCCTCAGAGTGCTCATTAACTATCACAGAGTATGACTTCTCTTTTAAAATAAGTAGCCTACTTTTCGGCACGGGAATTGGTTATTAATAGCAATGTTAATAACGCACACTTCTCGAATTCACTCACTCGTTTTCATGTAGCTATTACAGGAAATTTCCACTTTTTAAAAAAATATACAAATTTATTTAGCCAGTCTCCGAGTCTGGTGTCAGCACTTTTAGCTTAGCTTAGCATAGATCATTGAATCTGTCTAGACCAGGGGTCTCAAACTCAATTTACCTGGGGGTCGCAGGAGACAAAGTCTGGGTGAGGCTGGGCCGCATAAGGGATTTCACAAAAAAAAGTCCTCAAATGTCATTATTAACAGTTTTAATTATTTCTTCTGAACATGAAGTGTCCTGAACATTAATAGAACATTGAGTGAAGATTATGAACAGTTCTTCTGAACATGGCATCTTTTGCCTACTCCTTGCTGCCAGAGACTTGACAGCGCTTCCTCTCACAAATCTGAACCACATTTGGCTTTAGAGCGGAAGCAGTTGAGACCCTCAGTATGGCTTGGGGGAACTCACTCAAAACTTCCATTCCCTCACCTAAAAAAAAGGCGTATATATGTATAAATAAAACCCAAAACCCCACTCCAGTCACATCAGTCTGTACCAGTCTGTATCTACCTATAATATATATAAGATGCAGGCTGTAGCTAGGTAGGTGGCAGGCTGCAGATAGGTAGCTAAGTGGCAGGCAGGGGCGGGAACAGCTTACCTTGGTTCTGGCCGGCGCGAGTTCCCTCCTAACACTTCCCGCCCGTCACAGCGTCTAACAAAGGGGCGGGGTGCGTGGTGACGTCACCGGCATCCCCGCCCCTTTGTTTACACGGCGGGCGGGGAATGCCAGTGACCGATGTGTACGGATAGAATCTGCGGAGCGGGGAGCACTCTCTCTCCCCGCTCTGCTGATTCTGTCTGTGTACAGCGGTCGGCGCGGGCCACAAAATATTGCACTGAGGGCCGCAAAAGGCCCGCGGGCCGCGAGTTTGAGGCCCCTGGTCTAGACCATTAGCATCCTGTTTAAAAATTGATGCAGGAGGTGTAATGATGGGACTATTTTCAGCTGCTGCATAATATCATTGGTCAACCATGGTACGTCGGCAAAGTTTCTTGATTATTACGCCAGAATGAGAGTATAGTTCTTAGTCATATCGACTTAAATACGGAAGTGTCTACGAAAATTAAACTAAATTATAGGAAAATTATCAAAACTCTTTGGTCATTTGTTTGAGTGAGATGCTAATGGTCTAATCTGATTCAATGATCTATGCTAAGCTAAGCTAAAAGTGCTCTCGCCAGACCCCAAGATTGGCTGAATGGATATAACAGACATCCTAAGTCTCCCGGAAGTTCTGGGAGTCTCCCACAAATTCATAGAGACCCCCGGATGCCCGCAAACAAGTGATAATCTCCAGGAAATTGTGCGTTTCCTTAACGGTCCTCAATTACGTTGCGCAGTGAGAACCCTTCTTACCCCTCCACGCCGCATCCCTCCTCGCTCTTTAGACACGTCACTCGCACTCGTCCCTTATTTTCACTTTTGGGCAAGACTAAAAAAGGAAAATTATTGAAACTCTTTCGTCATTTTTGAGCGAGATGCTAATGGTCTAATCCGATTCAATGACTTATGCTAAGCTAAGCTAAAAGTGACCCCAAGACTCCAAGATTGGCTGAATAAATATGAAAATGTTAAAACTCAACTGTATAACTCTAGGTTTGTTATAAAATGAGCTGATTTTCTTTTCAGTCATGTTAGCGGTGTGCTAAAACATGTTATTTACTTGATAAATCATGTTAGCAAAGTGTTAAAAGCGGTTAGCAAAATTTCTCTGACATTCTTTTCTATTTTTTTCCTCTTTATTTTCACTTGTAGGCAAGGTGAAAATGGGAAAATAATTGAAAGTCTGGTCATTTTTAAGTGAGATGCTAACGGTCTAATCCGATTCAATGACCTATGCTAAGCTAAGCTAATAGTGCTCTCGCCAGACCGCTAAGCTAATATGCTTCACCAGACCCCAAGATTGGCAGAATGAATATGAAAATGGTAAAACTCAACTGTATAACTCTAGATATGTTGTAAATTGAGCCATTATTTTACGTCATGTTAGCAGCATGCTAAAACTTGCTATTAACTTGATAAATCAGGTTAGCAAGGTATTAAAAGCTGTAACCAAAATGTCTTTGACATTCCCTTCTAACTTATTTATCTTATTTTCACACTTGGGCAAGCGGAATATAGGACAATTATTGAAAGTCTTTCAATAATTGATGCCAATGGTCTAATCCGAATCAATGATTTATGCTAAGCTAAGCTAAAAGTGACCCCAAGATTGGCAGAATGGATATGAAAATGATAAAACCCAACTGTCTAACTCTAGGTTTGTTGTAAATTGAGCCGATTTTCTTTTAAGTCTTGTTAGCTGTGTGCTAAAACATGTATTAACTTGATAAATCATGTTAGCATAGCGTTAGCGGTTAGCTAAAATTCTCTGACATTCCCTCCTAACTTATTTCCCTTAGTTTTACTTTTGGGCAAGGCGAAAATAGGAAAATTATTGAAAGTCTTTGGTCATTTTTGAGCGAGATGCTAATGGTCTAATCCGATTCAATGATCTATGCTAAGCTAAGCTAATAGTGCTCCCGCCAGATTCAAAGATCGACTGAATGGATTCACAAATGGTCTTTACCTATAAGGGAGTTGTAAAATGAGCCTGTTTTCAAAATAATAGTGGACTAATGTAGGGAATAAGTGTATAAGGGGGCGATTTGGGTTACAGCCTTCATTTATGGGTCATGTCTGATCTCTGACTAAATCAAGGATCCATTAGATGATTTCGGTGTGTTTTATTTCACATTACGCTTCTAATAAGTGCTTGCAAGTTCAATAGTACCACCAATCAACCAGGAATGAACAACATCGCAAAGTATCGGCCTATTTCTGAAGCTTATCTAAACCTACAAATGACTGTATGCTGATTTGAAAGTTATATAACCGATGACAAAAAAAAGAAAATCAGGCGCAAAATGTCAATTGTTTATGACTTTGCATGTGTATATTCCAACTTTGTCCCTTGTGAACCCTCTCTATAATGTACCGCCACATACATCCAGACTATTTACTCCTAGTGAACTGCAACGACTTGCTTTCGGTGGTTTTCGTTACGTTTTAGTTGCTTCGACTTCTGTTGTCTTGTTTTTTCTTCTCCCCTCCCTCATATGTAAACCTGTTAACATGAGTACAAGCGAAAGCACTGTTGTAACTCATTGCCGAAAATATATACTCTGGTCTCATATGCTGCATGTTATAATGTGGGCTCTCCTGGTATGTTTTGTGAAGCGTTACAGGTTCATTTGAGGACTCCGGCATTAGTCTCAATATCTGCCTTCGTGACCTCTGGAGATAAAAGCAGCTTAAATGGAGACAGGCGAGGATTATCAAATGTCCTCTCGATTTCCTCTTAAATATATGAGAGGCTGTGTCAGACGGGCGATAAAACAATTCGGGACACAAAGTGATTCTTGCTAATATGGCAGATTACCTTTAACCTTTGCTGAATCCGGTGTTTGTGCTGAAACAAAAAGTCTGGGAGATTTCCGTGTCACTGTGGCTGGATGTAATGATCATTGGTAGATGAGTATTTGTTTAATTATGGAGGACTAAACCTGCAAAAACAATACATAAATAAATATGCAAATAGATAAACAAATACACTCACCGGCCACTTTATTAGGTACACCTTACTAGTAGCAGGTTGGACCTGCCTTAATCCTTCGTGGCACAGATTCAACAAGATGCTGGAAATATTCCTGAGATTTTTGCTCTATTCACATGATAGCATCAAGCAGTTGCTGCAGATTTGTCCGCTCGACGATGCGAATCTCCCGTTCCACTAAATTCCAAAGGTGCTCTATTGGATTGAGCTCTGGTGACTGTGGAGGCCATTTGAGTACAGTGAACTCATTGTCATGTTCAAGAAACCAGCCATTCTCTTCTGAACTCTGGCATCAACAAGGCATTTGCGCCCACAGAACTGCCGCTCACTGGATATTTTCTTTTTGTCAGACCATTCTCTGTAAACCCTAGAGATGGTTGTGCGTGAAAATCCCAGTAGATTAGCAGTTTCTGAAATACTCGGAGCAGCCCGTCTGGCACCAACAACCATGCCACGTTTAAAGTCACTTAAATCCCCTTTCTTCCCCATTCTGATGCTTTGTTTGAACTCCAGCAGATCGTCTTGACCATGTCTACATGCCTAAATGCACTGAGTTGCTGCCATGTGATTGGCTGACTAGAAATTTGCGTTAACGAGCAGTTGGACAGGTGTACCTAATAAAGTGGCCGGCGAATGTGTGTGTGTGTGTGTGTGTGTGTGTGTGTTTTTATATATATATATATATATATATATATATATATATATATATATATATATATATATATATATATATATATATATATATATATATATATATATATAAACAAAAGATAAATACTTACGGAATTACAGAATATTTAAAAATTCAGAAATTAAAAACTAATTTTTATTTTTTTGAGGATTAGGAATTAATTTAATAAAATTTGTATGGCGCATAATTTCAGCTATGGTGTAAAAATAAAAATCTAAAAAACTTTATTTCATTTATTTTTTTTATACTTTATTCTACAGCAGAAATAAGCTTAGAATAAGTTCAGCTAAAAAAAACAAACAAAAACATTTTGTTATAAAATATATTATAAAGAATCAATTTATACTTTGTTTTACATTTATCATACATTTGAAAAATTGACCACGAAATAGACCCTATTTTTTTTTTTTTTTAAATCATTCATTTTAATTTGTTTTTAAGATAAGGATTAGGAATTTAATATTAAACTGAATTATGAGATTATAATATATTTCTACTTTATTACAAATTTTTTGTTTTAAATCTTAGTACACTTTATTTTGTTGTAGAAATAATCTTATATTAACTTAAGCCAAACTAAAAATGTTACCACTATCGCCTCGCAGCAAGAAGGTCACTGGTTCAAGTCCCCACTGGCCATGTCTGTGTGGAGTTTGCATGTTCTCCCGGTGTTGGTGTGGATATCCTCCGGGTGCTCTGGTTTCCCCCACACTCCAAACACAAGCGCTATAGGTGAACTGAATAACTAAATTGGCTGTAGTGTATGAGTGTGCGTGTGAATGAGTGTTTCCCAGTACTAGGTTGGCGCTGGAAGGGATTCCACTGCGTAAAACGTGCTGGATACCCGAAGGAAAATAAATAAATTAGACTTGAAATCTCTAATTTAAATGATTTATTTTATCTTTGTCATGATGACAGCACATAATATTTGACTAGATATTCTTCAAGACACTAGTATTTAGCTTAAAATGACATTTAAAGGCTTAATTAGGCAGTTTGTTCTGTTGACAATCAAAAAAAATATTGTTTAAGAGGGCTAATAATTGAGCTTAAAATGGTTTTAAAAATAATTAAAACTGCTTTTAGTCTAGTCGAAATTAATCAAATAAGACTTTCTCCAGAAGAAAAAATATTATAGGAAATACTGTGAAAAATTCTTGAATCTGTGAAACATCATTTGAGAAATATTTGAAAAGAAAAACTATTTAAAGAGCGGCTAAATCAAAATTAAATCAAATTGTAAATAAAATTACTGAGTTGGAAAATGGGTAAATTTGTTAATTCAAACGAGGAAAGCTTATTTATTTATTTATTTTAATAAGTAACTACAACAAAGAAAGAAACCAGCATGTAAGCAATACATTTATTTATTCACACAGTAAAAAACAATTCCATATAATAAACGTTATCATTAAAATATGAGCATGTCATTGTCCAAAGTGGAATGATGAATGATGAGGAACTGAAGCCAAATCCCCTCTGAAAGACTGAGCTGTCCTTCAGTATCTCCTCTGTCTGGGGCTGAAGACGGTGCTGGGGTCGCTGTCCCGCTCGCGCTCTTTCTCCCTCTCTCTCTGGCTGTTGGGTGATAAAGGCTTCTCGATGGCCGGGCCTGCGCGCGCTTTATCGCTTTTAAACAGATCTCGACCCGTCCTTAAAATCTGCTCCTCGATCTTTCGGTGGCGCTTCATGTCTGACAGCACTTTGTCCAGCCGAGCCTCGCGCTTGACAGTAGAGCGCGCAGAAGATCCTGCAAATCACAGCACAAGCGCTCCACATTCATTTATACGGTGTGTGTGTGTGTGTGTGTGTGTGTTCCAGTGTTATCCAGTGTTTCTCATACCTGGAGTTCTTCGGCGAGTGAGAAAAGAGTTTTTGGGAGTTGCCAGAGTCTGTTCTTCATCGAAGTCAAACTCAGTCGGTGTGAGAGCCCTGTTGGGGATAGAAAAGCAGATTTTATTTGTTTGTGTATGAATGATAATGATTATATTGCACAATATTAAAAAATTATAGCCTATTTAAAGAGGTAGTTCACACAAAAATGATAATTTCCTTGCCCTTTACTTGCCCTTTAAAATTGTCTTTATTTGGTTAAACACAAAAGAAGATATTTTGAAGAATGCTGAAATCCGTTAACCATTAACTTATGTAAGTCGATGGTTACCGGTTGTCAGCATTCTTCAAAACATCTTCTTTTGTGTTTAACAGAATAAAGAAAATCCTCTCTATTTACTCTCCCTCAAATGGTTTTAAACTTTTTTGATTTCCTTTATTCTGTTGAACAAAAGAAGATGTTTTGAAGAATGTTAAAATCTGGTAACCATTTACCATCATAGAAGTTGTTTTTCCTATTATGGAAGTCAATGGTTACCGGTTTTCTGCATTCTTCAAAATATCTTCTTTTGTGTTCAACAGAATAAAGAAAATCCTCTCTATTTACTTTCTCTCAAATGGTTCCAAACCTTTATGATTTCCTTTATTCTGTTGAACAAAAGAAGATGTTTTGAAGAATGTTAAAATCTGGTAACCATTTACTTTAATAGTAGTTGTTTTTCCTATTATAGAAAGTGAATGGCTACCGGTTTTCAGCATTCTTCAAAATATCTTTTGTGTTCATCAGAATAAAGAAAATCAAAGATTTGAAACCACTTGAGGAAGAGTAAATAGTGAGTAAATGAACATTTTTGGGTCAACTATTCCATTAGCGCCCTATCATTAATCCTATCATCAGCGTCCTGGTTAAATACAAAGGAAGATACTTTGAAGAACGTTTGTAAATTAGTAAGAATTGACTTCCATAGAAGGAAAAACAACTACTGTGGAAGTCAGGTTACAGGTGGTTACCGGTTTTCAGCATTCTTCAAAATATCTTCTTTTGTGTTTAACAGAATAAAGAAAATCCTCTCTAATTACTCTCCCTCAAATGATTCCAAACCTTTATGATTTCCTTTATTCTGTTGAACAAAAGAAGATGTTTTGAAGAATGTTAAAATCTGGTAACCATTTACTTTCATAGTAGTTGTTTTTCCTATTATGGAAGTCAATGGTTACCGGTTTTCAGCATTCTACAAAACATCTTCTTTTGTGTTCAACAGAATAAAGAAAATCCTCTATATTTACTCTCCCTTTAAATGGTTCCAAACCTTTATGATTTCCTTTATTCTGTTGAACAAAAGATGTTGTTTTGAAGAATGTTAAAATCTGGTAACAATTAACTTTTATAGTAGTTGTTGTGTGAATGGTTAAGAGTTTTCAGCATTCTTCAAAATATCTTCTTTTGTGTTCAACAGAATAAAGAAAATTAAAGGTTTGAAACTGCTTGAGGGAGAGTAAATGAACATTTTTAGCTGAACAAAAATTCCTTTAAGCTCTTCATCAAAGTCAACTTCAGTCGGTGTGAGCGCCCTATTGAAGACCGAAAACTAGATCAGCTTTATTTGTGTGTATGATTGGTAATAATATTCCACAATATTAAAAATTACGGTCCCACTTTATATTAAGTGTCCTTAACTACTATGTACTTGAATCAAAAAATAAATACAATGTACTTACTGTGGTACTAATGTATTTGAGAACACTTGTGGTGCTCTTGAGTTGGGATAGAGGTTGGGTTATGGACAGGTTTGGTGGTGTGGGTAGGTTTAAGGGTGGGTTAAGGTGTAAGGGATGGTCAACATTGTATTTACAAATGTAATTACAGAAGTTAATCACAGATGTAATTACATACCGGTATTTAATCAAGCATAAGTACTCGATAAATACATGTATTTACACAATAAGTACATTGTAACAAACTGTTAATTCCTGTGTAAGTACATATTAGTTAAGGCCACTTAATATAAAGTGGGACCAAAATTACAGCTTATTAAAAAGGGTAGTTCACACAAAAATGAAATAATTTCCTCACTCTTGTTTTAAACCTTTAAAAGTGTCTTTATTTGGTTGAACACAAAAGAAGATGTTTTAAAGAATGCTTAAAACTGCTGACCATTGACTCCTTTTCCACCTATTATGGAAGTCAATGGTTACCGGTTTTCTGCATTCTACAAAACATCTTCTTTTGTGTTGAACACAATAAAGAAACTCATCTATATTTACTCTCCCTCAGATGGTTCCAAACCTATATGATTTGCTTTATTCTGTTAAACAAAAGATGTTTTGAAGAATGTTGAAATCCGGTAACCATTGACATCCACAGTAGTTGTTTTTCCTATTATAAAAAGTGAATGGTTACTGGTTTTCAGCATTCTTCAAAATATCTTTTGTTCATCGGAATAAATAACATCAAAGATTTGAAACCACTTGAGGGAGAGTAAATGAACAATTTTGGTTGAACTATCCCTTTAAGCTCTTCATCAAAGTCGACTTTAGTCGGTGTGAGCGCCCTATTGAAGACCGAAAACTAGATCAGCTTTATTTGTGTGTATGATTGGTAATGATAAGTAATAATATTCCACAATATTAAAAATGACAGCTTATTTAAAGGGTAGTTCACACAAAAAAAATTAACAATATCCTCACCCCTAACTTGTTTCAAACCTTTAAAAGTGTCTTTATTTGGTTGAACACAAAAGAAGATGTTTTAAGCAATGTTGGAAACCGGTCACCAATTGACTTCCACAGTAGTTGTTTTTCTTATTATGGAAGTCAATGGTTACCGGTTTTCTGCATTCTACAAAATATCTTCTTTTGTGTTTAACAATAAAGAAACTCAAAGATTTGAAACCATTTGTAGGAGAGTATATTGTGAGTAAATTAAGATTTTCAGGTGAACTATCTCTTTAAGCAGTCTTGGGGATATATTCGGTGTGAGCAGAGAAAGAAGAAAGAAAAACAGATCAGCTTTTTTTGTGTGTATAAATGGTAATAAGTAATAATATTCCACAATATTACAAATAATAGACTTTTATGACCTATTTAAAGCGGTAGTTCACACAAAAAATGAAATCATTTCCTCACCCTTTACTTGTTTCTAACCTTTTAAAGTGCCTTTATTTGGTTGAACACAAAAGAAGATGTTTTGAAGAATGCTGGAAACCAGTAACCATTGACTTCCACAGTAGTTGTTTTTCCTATTATGGAAGTCAATGGGTACCATTTCCAGCATTCTTCTAAATATCTTCTTTTTTGTGTTTAACAGAATGAAGAAAATCATCTATATTTACACAAATGATTTCAAACCTTTAAGATTTTCTTTATTCAGTTAAACAAAAGATGTTTTGAAAAATGTTGAAATCTGGTAACCATTGACTTCCACAGTAGTTGTTTTTCCTTTTATAAAAGTAAATGGTTACCAGTTTTCAGCATTCTTCATAATATCTTTTGTGTTCTACAAAATAAAAAAACTCAAAGATTTGAAACCACATAAGGAAGAGTAAATAGTGAGTAAATGAACATTTTTGGGTCAACTATCCAGCAAACTTGGAGATATATTCAGTGTGAGCGCCTTATCATTATCCTATCATTAGCACCCTGGTTAAAAACAAAAGAAAATATTTTGAAGAATGTCGGAAACCAGTAAGCATCGACTTCCATAGTGGGAAAAACAACTACTGTGGAAGTCAATGGTTACTGGTTTTCAGCATTCTTCAAAATATCTTTTTTGTGTTAAACAGAATAAAGAAAGTCTTAAAGGTTTGAAACCATTTGAAAGAGAGTAAATAGTGAGTAAATGCTTGTACTAACTGATTACCGAAAGGATGCATTTTAACAGTATAAGTTAAAAAATTATTATTTGTGACCCGATCTGGCATAATAAGTCTAGAGATGCACCGTTGTATTTTAAGATACAGCACGATAAAGCGAAAAACAATGAAAAAAATCTAGTTTTCTTTTTCTTTTTAAGCTAGATTCAGTTTTAAAAATCATTTCACAACGTTTCGTAGTCCAGATCGAGTTAAAGTATTTAGACTATTGAAGTTATTCTTTTTATTTAGTTAATTTTTTTCTACGCTGTTGGAAATACACTGCAACAGTGCAAAAGAAGATGTTTTAAAGAATGCTGGAAACCAGTAACCATTGTAACTTCCATAGTATTTGTTTTTCCACTATGGAAGTCGATGGTTACTGGTTTTCAGCATTCTTTGAAATATCGTCTTTTGTGTTTTACAGTATAAAGAAACTCATCAATATTTACTCTCCCTCAAGTGGTTTCAAACCTTTATTCATTTCTTTATTCTATTAAACACAAGTAACCGGTAACCACTGCCTTCTATAATTGAAAAAACAACTAGTATGGAAGTAAATGGTTACCGGTTTTCAGCATTCTTCAAAATATCTCCTTTTGTGCTCAACTCATAAAGATTTGAAACACGGGTGAGAACATGATGATCAAATAAAATGTTTGCATGAACTATCCCTTTAAATAAGCTGTAAAAGTGTATTATTTTGAATATTGTGAAATGTTGTTACACTTATCACTACCATAATAATACAAGCTAGATTCAATGTTAACCTGACAAGTGGCGACCAATGGAAAACACCAAACCAACTATCTGGACCCACCCTGACCTACGGCCGATTGTTAGCTTGGTGTGTCCCGGCTCTAAAAACCCACATCAGCCCATTCCTTCACCCATGTGGACTCACTTGCGCTCGGCCTGCTCCTGCGTGTGGTCCTGCGTGTCGTCTCCGTCTCCCTCAGGCGATGGTGTTCGTGGAGGAGTCGGGGGTCTGCGGGGAAGAGGAACCCACTGCAGCTCCAGCTCCTCCCCTTTGGCCAGCAGCTCATAGAGGCGCTTGATCTCCGCGGGTGGAGGCATCCAGTTTTGCGGCTCCTCCATCTCCTCATCACTGTAAGGGATCATCCATTCCTCCTCCTCCACTTCCTGCTGCTGCGTCTGTCCTTCACCACCGTTTACTTCTCCATCTGTGCTCGTTCCCTCCTTCTGCTCCTCCCTCAACTCCTTCTGTCCTTCTGCAGCTTTCATAAAGATGGGAAATTAAAAACACTGCTCTTAAAGGGGCAGCTCACCCAGTTTACTCTCCCTTATTTTTAAACGTTCTTTTTTTCTATTTACATTTTTATTTATATTTTGAAGAATGCTGGACACCGGTAACCATTGACTTCCATTGTGTTTTTTTTTTCCCTATTATGGAAGTCAGTAGTTACCAGTTTTCAGCATTCTTCAAAGCATCTTCTTTTTGTGCGAAAAAAAAATCTCAAGTGGTTGCAAACATTTATGAGATTATTTTTCAGACAAGATATTTTGAAAAATGTTGGAAACCTCTAACCATTGACTTCCATTGTAGGAAAAACTAATACTATGAAAGTTAAGAATTACCGGTTACCGGTTTCCAGCATTCTTCAAAATATCTTCTTTTTGTGTTCAAGAGCAACAAAAATAATCTTAAGTGATTCCAAACCTTTGAGCTTCTTTTACAGAAAAGAAGATATTTTGAAAAATGTTGAAAACCGGTAACCATAAACTTCCACAGTGTGTTTTTTTCCTATTATGGAAGTCAGCAGTTACCAGTTTTTAGCATTCTTCAAAGCATCTTCTTTTTGTGCGAAAAAAAAAAGAATCTCAAGTGGTTCCAAACATTTATGAGATTATTTTTCAGATAAGAAGATATTTTGAAAAATGTTGGAAACCTGTAACCATTGACTTCCATTGTAGGAAAAACAAACTATGTAAGTCGATGGTTACCGGTATCCAGCATTCTTCAAAATATCTTCTTTTTGTGTTCAACAGAAACAAAAATAATCTCAAGTGGTTCCGAACCTTTGAGCTTCTTATACAGAAAATAATATATTTTGAAAAATGTTGAAAACCGGTAACCATAGACTTCCACAGTGTGTTTTTTTCCTAATATGGAAGTCAGTAGTTACCAGTTTTCAGCATTCTTCAAAGCATCTTCTTTTTGTGCGAAAAAAAAATCTCAAGTGGTTCCAAACATTTATGAGATTATTTTTCAGACAAGATATTTTTAAAAATGTTGGAAACCTGTAACCATTGACTTCCGTTCTGGGAAAAACTAATACTATGGGAGTAATGGTTACCGGTTTCCAGCATTCTTCAAAATATCTTCTTTTTGTGTTCAAGAGCAACAAAAATAATCTCAAGTGATTCCAAACCTTTGAGCTTCTTTTACAGAAAAGAAGATATTTTTAAAAATGTTGAAAACCGGTAACCATAGACTTCCATAGTGTGTTTTTTTCCTATTATGGAGGTCAGTAGTTACCAGTTTTCAGCATTCTTCAAAATATCTTCTTTTTGTGTTCAATAGAAACAAAAATAACCTCAAGTGATTCCGAACCTTTGAGGTTCTTATACAGAAAAGAAGATTATTTTTAAAAATGTTGAAAACCGGTAACCATAGACTTCCATAGTGTGTTTTTTTCCTATTATAGAGGTCAGTAGTTACCAGTTTTCAGCATTCTTCAAAGCATCTTCTTTTTGTGCTTAAAAAAAAGAATCTTAAGTGGTTGCAAACATTTATGAGGTCACTTTTCAGACAAGATATTTTGAAAAATGTTGGAAACCGGTAACTGCTGACTTCCATACTAGGAAAAACAAATACTATTTAAGTCAATGGTTACTGGTTTTCAGCTTTCTTCAAAGTATTCTTTTGTGTTTGAAAGAATAAAGAAACCCAAAACTAACACTTTAAAAGTGCATCTTTTTTTAAGGGCGGAAATTAAAGATCTGCTCTTAAAGAGACAGTTCACCCCAAAAAAAGAATATATTGTCATTAACTCTCCCTTGTTTTCAAACTTTTATGAGTTTCTTCTGTTGAACCACAAAAAGAAGATATTTTGAAAAATGTTGAAAACCGGTAACCACTGACCTTCACAGTAGAAAAAAACCCCCAAAAACAATAGAAGTCAAAGGTAACCAGTTTCCAGCGTTCCTCAAAATATCTTCTTTTGTGGTTTAACATAATAAAGAAACATATAAATGTTTGAAAACACTTGGGTGAGTAAATGATGAGTGAATCTTCATTTTTGGGTGAACTGTACCTTTTAAATAACTGTCTGAAAAAGCACTATATATATATATATATATATATATATATATATATATATATATATATATATATATATATATAGATAGATAGATAGATAGATAGATAGATAGATAGATAGATATATATATATATATATATATATATATATATATATATATATAGATATATAGATATATAGATATATATATAGATACATATAGATACATGCAAGTTGTCACTGAGCGAATGGAAATCCAACTTGACTAATAGTGCAGGTAACGTTATGTAAAGGAGTGTTGTAAAGCTCATACTGTTGTCCTCCGTCGGAGTGTGTGTAGCGGCTGTGCTGGTCTCATCTCCGTCTTTCTCCTTCTGCTCCTCCTTTTCTCCGGTTTTGTCCCGTTCACCGACTCCCAGCGACTCCACGCGCTCCGCCAGTGTGTCCTGCGCCTCCTGCATCTCCGCTGCACACAAATAATCCAGTAATGAAACACATAACGACCATTAATGCGTTCAGAAACATTCTCCATCAGCACATACATAAAGAGGCGGAGTCAAACCTTCCTATCAGTGTTACAGGGAGCCGCGCGGGGTGATTAAACGCATCAGTGGGTTATTATTTATGAAAATAATACAGATTTTTGTTGTCATGGCCAAAAAGTACTGTTTATTTCGGCGCCTTGATGTCAGTGGCGTCATTTCCGTACGTGAGGATCCGCTCACAGCGACGCCACGCGCTCGATTGACCGACGAACAGGTTAATATATATATATATATATATATATATATTTATTTATTTTATTTTTTTTCACAGCATGTCTGATAATATTTTTCTTCTGGAGAATGCTTATTTGTTTTATTTCGGCTAGAATAAAATCTGTTTTTAATTTTAAGAAAGAAAATTCATGGACAAAATTATTAACCTCTTTAAGCTATATTTTTTCTCGATAGTCTACAAAACAAACCATCGTTATACAATAACTTGCCTAATTACCCTAACCTGCCTAGTTAACTTAATAGTTAAGCCTTTAAATGTCAATTTAAGCTGTATAGTAATGTCTTAAAAAATGTCTTGTCAAATATTATTTACTGTCATCATGGCAAAGATAAAAAAAAAATAATAATAAATATATATATATAACATTATTTTTTATTATTATTACTGATAAATATAATTACAAAAGATAGAAGAAATTTTTTTTCTGGCCACTGAAAAAGTTTGCCTCCTTTTTATCTCAAAGTTATGAGATGTAAACTCGAAATTGTGAGTTATTTGTAAAATATAAACTGAATTAATATAATTCTGGATTTATTTCTCAGAATTCTGACTTTTATATCAAGCGTTTCTGAGATAAAAACCTCTCAATAACCTTTTTTTTTATTTGGCGGGAACAGGTTTCCATAGTTTAGAGAACAAAACTGAACAGGGGCTGAAAAAAACAAACACATAATCAGGACAACAAAGTATAACTGGAAATAATAAAAAAAATCACTTATTATTAATATTATTCATTTTCCTTTGGCTTAGTCTCTTATTTATCAGGGGCTGCCACAGTGGAATGAACCGCCAACTGTTCCGGCCAATTTAGTTCATCCAATTCATCCAAAGCGCATGTGTTTGGACTGTGGGGGAAACTCCATAGGGAAATGCCAACTGACCCAGCTGGGACTCAAACCAGCAACCTTCTTGCATTGAGGCGACAGTGCAAACCACACATTTAAATGCATTTTAATTCTGAAATTGGACATTATTAGTGCACATTGAAAGAAATAAACTATAGAAAAAACATTTAACTATTGTAACCTATTAATCTATTCATAAAGTTATAAATGTTTGATATATATATATATATATATATATATATATATATATATATATATATATATATATATAATTTTATTATAATTATTATTATTATTATTATTATTATTATTATTATTATTATAAACATTTGAATCTATTCATAAGTGTGAATTTTTGACAGATGTTTATTATTCATTCATTCATTTTCTTTTCGGCTTACTCCCCGACTTACTCTTAATCTTTATTAAGTCGCCACAGTGGAATGAACCACCAACTTATCTAGCATATGTTATATGCAGCAGATGCCCTTCCAGCCGCAACCCATCACTGAGAAAACATAAACAAACAAACACTATAAAACATGTTGCATGTTTGACGAGAAATAAAAACAATGGCGTTACTCATGTCAGTCAATTAGTGTAATTACATCAATAACATAAGCATAACATAAACATAAAACTTTAGCTAGAGAAGTTGGCGGTTCATTCCGCTGTGGTGACCCCTGATTATTAAAGGGACTAAGCCGAAAATAAAATAAAAATGAGCCAAGGATGGGGTTTCTTAGGGCTTTTATTTTGACAATGTGCTTCCTACATTTCCAGCAGAGCGGAAGCAGGTTGACGCGGAGCCGCACATCAACAGAACTGGTCGAAATCTGCGATGAGTTTTGAGTGGCCCTGGCAGTATAACTTTCCTCCATTCTTTACGTAAGTAAATACATTTTTAAATCATTGTCATTGACTGCAGATTGATAAACGAGCTTTCGTGTCCACAGTGTTGTTCACACACTTTGGTCCCATGTACAAATAGACGTTTGTGTGGCGAATAAAGCCGCTGTTCGCATTCCGCTACGGAAGTAA